CCTGAGACACACCTGAAGGAGCAGGACCGGGAGCGGGGAGGGGGTCTACCTGGGGAGCACCTGGAGCGAGGAAGAGCGGCAGGGGGGGGAGAGGGGAGGGAGAACCCTGGGAAGACCAGAGACAAGGACACGGCGGTGCATGCTACAAAGGCGCTGCACCGAGGGGTGACCAAGGCGGTGGTGCCAAAGGAGGGTCTGGTGCGACAAAGCGTGACACGAGCAGGGGGCCGCTAGCTGACCTGACGCAGACGCAGACGCAGCGACCTGAGGGGACACAGTAGTCAGTGTCTACAAACTCGAGCCAGGCGCACGGGTAAACGTGGCCAGGTGTCGGCCCGTCCGGGAGCACGTACAGTGGGTCACGCGCTGACCTCCAGGAGTGAACTGGTCAACCTACTGGTCCTGGAGGTCAGCACCACTCACCAAGTTCGTAGAGAACGAGGGGAGGTGAAGACCTGACAGGGAGCCAGACGGGACCGCCGGACACGGCAGGACCGTGGAGGAGCGCGCAAGGACTGGACCCCCAGAGGGGTCTGCCAGGGATACTGGAACCGGCCGGCTGAGCGGCGTGAGGGTGATGCTGTCGCGAAAGAAGGAGCGGGAAGCACCTGAGTCAAGTGTGAAGGTGTACAAGGCCTCAGCAGGCGCAGTACCAAAGAGAGCAGACTCACCAGCACCTGGAGCAGCAGCCTCACCAGCAACCAGAGCAGGAGACGCACTAGCACCTAGAGCAGCAGCCTCACCAGCACCGAGGGCAGCAGGCTCTATACCTGGGTCAGGCGTGGCGCACAGGTAACAGGTACTGTCAGCACTAGTAGGCAATGCATACATGGCAGTGAGAATAGCATCATAGTCAAGAGCAAAGATATCTACCCTCTGCCCAAGTAGCTCCACCCAGTCGGGGAGCTCAGCCTCGTCGCCAAACTCGGTACGCCAGGCGTCATTCAGACGGGCGAAGCAGCGGGATTGGGTGTGACTGAGCGTCCCGCAAGTCTGACCCGTCCGATCACCTGTGCGAATGACGTACGGGCAGCGAACGGTACTCAAAGACCCCCTACTCTGAGCGTACCACTCGTGAAGCTGCTGGGACGTAAGTGTCTCGCGTGGACGCCGCTGCAGCTGCAGCGGGCCACTGCCAGACGCTCCCAACTGACCAGCTCTAGGGCGACAGCTACGACGACTACCGCCACAAACCCAACTAGCGTACCACTCACGAAGCTGCTGGGGCGTGAGAGACTCGCGCAGACGTCGCTGGAGCTGCATCTGGCCACCGCCAGTACCAGTAGCAGTAGCCTAGCAGAGCAGGCGCGGCAGGCAGGCAGACAGGCAGGCAGGCAGGCAGGCTGGCTGGCAGGCAGGCAGGCAGGCAGGCAGGCAAACAGGCAGGCAGGCAGGCAGGCAGGCAGGCAGACAGGCAGGCAGGCAGGCAAGCAGGCAGGCAGGCTGGCAGGTAGGCAGGCTGGCAGGCAGGCAGGCAGGCAGATGGCGCGGCAGCGCGCTAACAAGGCAGGTGCTCACCAGTGGCGGGAAGAGCAGGCGCTCGCCGGGCGAGCAGGGCCGGCGCTCGGCGGGCGGCTGCACGGGGTCCAGAGGCGGCGTCGCGGGTCCAGGGGCGGCGTCGCGGGATCCAGGGGCGGCTGCACCAGGGGCGGCTGCTTCAGGGGCCAGGGGCGGCTGCTCTGGGTCCAAGGGCGGCTGCTCGAGGGTCCAGGGGCGGCGTCGCGGGATCCAGGGGCGGCTGCACCAGGGGCGGCTGCTTCAGGGGCCAGGGGCGGCTGCTCTGGGTCCAAGGGCGGCTGCTCGAGGGTCCAGGGGCGGCTGCACCAGGGGCCAGGGGCGGCTGCTCTGGGTCCAGGGGCGGCTGCACCAGGGGCGGCTGCTTCAGGGGCCAGGGGCAGCTGCTCTGGGTTCAGGGGCGGCTGCTCGAGGGTCCAGGGGCGGCTGCACCAGGGGCCAGGGGCGGCTGCTCTGGGTCCAGGGGCGGCTGGACCAGGGGCGGCTGCTGCAGGGGCCAGGGGCGGCTGCTCGGGGTCCAGGGGCGGCTGCTCCAGGGGCGGCTGCTCCAGGGGCGGCTGCTGCAGGGGCCAGGGGCGGCTGCACCAGGGGCGGCTGCTTTGGGTCCAGGGGCGGCTGGACCAGGGGCGGCTGCTTCAGGGGCCAGGGGCGGCTGCTCGGGGTCCAGGGGCGGCTGCTCCAGGGGCGGCTGCTCCAGGGGCGGCTGCTGCGGGGGCCAGGGGCAGCTGCTCTGGGTCCAGGGGCGGCTGCTCGAGGGGCGGCTGCTGCAGGGGCCAGGGGCGGCTGCTCTGGGTCCAGGGGCGGCTGCACCAGGGGCGGCGTAGCTGGTGCAGGGCAGCGCGCGGGTCCCACAGGCGCCGCGACTGGCGACGGGGGGGGGGGGGCAGTGCGCAGGCGGGGCCGCGTCGGCGGCAGGGTGGGGGCCGCGACCGCGGCAGGGCGAGGCCGCGTCGGCGGCCGTAGAAAGCAGCTCGAGGGCTGCGAAGCTACGCGCGGGGCAGGAGAAGGCAGCGCGGGGGCTGCGGGGCGGTGCGCGGGCCTGACAGGGCAGCTAGCGGGCTACGCGTGGGGCTGACGAGGCAGCAGGCGGGCTGCTAGCAGGCTGTATGAGGGCCAGCAGAGGCGAGCGCGAGGGCTGCGCGACGTAGGGCAGTGTAGGCAAGGGGCGGGGTAACTCGGTAACCGGCGGAAAACGGTTGGTGGGCCCGAAAAAAAAAGTCCTAAAACGGTCCTAGGGACCTATGTCGCTCTTAATACCATGCCGTAAGTAAAGGAAAAAGGTGGTGGACTATCGAGAGAGTTGGTACAAAATGAAAACCTAAGGGGTTGTACCCCACAGTGAGTACCCCACTAAAGCCTACCTAAACTATAACATATAAACATATGTTTGACAAGGAGAGGGTTCGGAAGAGCTCATGCCAATGCGCATCCGTCCTCAGGTGCGCACCTGCTGCAAGGCGACTGCACGCAAAAGAGAGGTTATGACGGGTAGAGATGGCTGCAAACTGCACCATGCTGAGAATTGACAAGTACTCGGTCATGGTTCGTTTGGCACATTGCCCGGCATCCTGCTTGCCAAAGCTGGCAGAGGAGAGAGGAGTGATGTGCTACTTCTGTTATGTGATGCTATCATATGCATTCACGTCTGTCTGCCTCCCATCATATGTTCGTGCATTGCATGCGTGGTGTGAGCGTGTGAAAGAATTTGTGTTCGGTGTGGTTTGGATTCTCTGAGTGTGTGTGAATGTTATTTTGTCTGAGCAGATATCTGAAATGACTTCTAATACCAAATTGTACATCACATCCCTGTGATTTCAATCGAATCGAAATTGTTAAAGCTCAAGGCCCAAATTGCGGGCCGCGCGAGGCAAGTTTAGTAAGGTTGATCTAGTGCTGCTTTGCAGCTTTAGCTGGGCGAATTGTGGTTACGAAATGTACGAAGCTATCTGATTGGCCAGAACATTTGAGTCAGCGAATGGAACAGGTGGTGCGGGAAACTGGCAAGAGTAATATTTGTGCAATATGGGACTCGCGCAACCAAACCTGAGCGTCCCCTAGGCTTTGCTGAGTCAGCGAATTTTGTTTTGAGTGTGGCGAGAAGCTGGGCGAAACCAAACCCCTACACCCCTCAAACACCTCGACTTTCCTACTCTGCTTTCCCACCACCCAAGGGTCAACTTTAGTAATCCTGAACAATTTGGGCCTTGAGCTTTAAGTGTCACAGATCATAATTGCGCGCGGGCGATTCACTGCCAGCGCACAGAGGCAAAGTACAGTGTAACACCTCACTTTGAGGGCATGCCAGCTCGTGCTGACTGGACGCGCAGGATATGAGGTCCTCGAAAGTCAACCTAAGCGAAGATGGGTGTGGCCTCGCTGCAAAATTGAATTTCGTTACCGTTTTTATAAATGATTTAAAAATCAAATTACACATGCACTTATAACATATAAGGGTTTTATAAGGGGTGCACTTGTAAATGAGGATCGGCCATAAGCGTATTGCTCCAGATATAAGCACATTATATACATGATGGGTAGAGTTGCAATTCCTTCATTTTAACATGTTGTGGAGCTGCTGAGGCAAATCAATATGTACGATGTATTTTCTGGTTGAGATGTGATCTCTTAATCCCTTTTAATATGATGTTGGCTGTTACGTTTTTTTTTCTGGAATAATGGGCTCACTTCGTTAGTGCATTCAAGAGGTATAGTGGAACAGTGGAGAGGCCAATAACGGATGCACAAGAATATAGAATCTATGTTTTGCTGACATGGGCTGCGTTCTGTTGGCGCATAGGCTGTGGTTTGCCCTCACGAGGAATGCTCTAGGAATGCGCTTGAGAATGTAGGCAATGTCTCTAGATCGGGATGATCACGTAGACTACTGCATCCCTTGCCGTTGCTCAATTTCGAGCTGCCGTCTTTTCTCTGTCTAATATCGCCGTTGGTTGCATTATCGGACTTCAGATTAATCGTGTAGCTTGATTCCGGCGACGGCCTTGCTGTTGTAGTCGCGTGATGGCTCGCAGTCACGCACAAGCACGGAGACCAAAATCAAGCATCGCGACGGCAGATGATCCGAAAAGCGTCGCGACGGCAGATTCGAAAAGCGTCGCTGACGGCAAACCAGGCGATGCTTCTGGTGACGTCATCATCGCTCCGCCGCTGAACAGATGGTCGAGGCGCGTCCGCGTGGGGATCTTCGCGGCGTGCGTCCTCACTCCCGTTATAGTGGCGTTTCTCGTGATGGACCTGGATCCGTTAGAGCGACGATCCATTACAATCAACGCCGTTATGAGCGTCGCGGGATTCTTTATAACGACGAAACTCATTCCGTTGGCGGTGACTTATATGTTGCGGAGAAACATGTTCGGATTCGATATAAACAAGCGAGGTTCCCCAGCTGGAGAAATCAAGATGTGAGTACAACGAACGGTGAGAAACACTGATGTATCAACACTGCTCAGATGTGCTGCTTACGAGCGATGCTCTCAGCCGGCAATTCCAAGTGTGATTTTAGTGAAGGGGAGAGTAATGTTCCAGGTGTACCCAGGGTCGATTGGGTAGTGGTAGTGTGCATCATTCCCACTTCCACTCACCCTTTCCCTCCCTCCCCCGTACTGTGGGACTCAGGATCGGGTTTGGTGGTACCCACTGTGTGCTCATGGGTGGATAGGTAGGTGGTACTGTGCATTTCCTTTGTCAGCCGCGCACCCCCATGCCCCCCATTCCATGCTTGCCCCACACTCCCCAGGCCCGAGACGTGAATGGTGACTCCCCCTTGTCACCTTTGCTGTGCATGTACCCCCATGCACCCCATGACCCCCATGGCTCCATGCAACCCCATGCCATGTGCTTCCACACTACCCCCTATCCAGACCCGAGGCGCAGGGACTGGTGGTGGCGCTCGTGTACCTGGTGGTAACCATCCTCTTCCAGCACTTCTACTTCACGCCTGACTCGCCTATGAGTGCCTCCCAGGTGATTTTTCAGGTGTTTCTTCAGCTATAGCGAGCTCAGGTAAGATATGCAGTTCCTTGCTCAGCTAATCCCACTCTCACGCTGCATTCTCCCCGTATCATGTCCTTCTCCCCGTATCATGTCCTTCTCCCCGTATCATGTCATTCTCCCCGTATCATGTCCTTCTCATTTTGAGACGTCTCAAAACTATCATGTCCTTCTCAGCTCCCTCTCCTCGCTCCCGTGCGCCCCTCTCCCCACTTCTCCCTGCCATCCCCCCTCTGCCCGCGTGCATCAGCGGATCCAGCAGCTGCTGGAGCCAAACGCGCCTTTGGCTGTTGGTCCTGGCCGGATTGGGACGGGCGTGCATCTGCTTCGTGGCCTTGCCTGCTTCTACCCACTTCTACCCACTCGCCCGTGCACATCCACTTCTACGCCCCCTCTCCCAGTGGCGTGCCTGCTCTCTGCGCTTCTGCTTCAGTACAATGCAGCGTTGGCGAGCATCTGCTTCATGGCCTTCCTGGGCTTCGTTCAGTCTCCCTTGCTATCCCACCACCCCCTCTCCACTCTCTTCCCCCCTCCAGTGGCTGCTTGAGTACAACGCAGTGCTGGCGTGCATCTGCTACATGGCGTGGTCTACTCACTTCTACCCACTCACCCCATGCTCGCCCCCTCCTACCTTTCTCCCCCTTCGCTCCCCCACCTTCCGTCCCCCCCCATGGTGCAGTGGCTGCTCGAGTACAATGCAGCGCTCGCCTGCATCTGCTACATGGCCTTCCTGGGCTTCATCGACGATGTGCTCGACATCCCCTGGCGCGTGTGAGTGCTGGGAAGTGCTGCTGGGGGGTGCTGCTGGGGGGTGCTGCTGGGGGGTGCTGCTGGGGGGAATGGATCATATCAAGGGCACGTTTGGGCTCGGGAAGATGGGCATGGGAAGATGGGCAGGGGCAGATGGGCAGGGGCAGATGGGCAGGGGCAGATGGGCAGGGGCAGATGGGCAGGGGCAGATGGGCAGGGGCAGATGGGCAGGGGCAGATGGGCAGGGGCAGATGGGCAGGGGCAGATGGGCAGGGGCAGATGGGCAGGGGCAGATGGGCAGGGGCAGATGGGCAGGGGCAGATGGGCAGGGGCAGATGGGCAGGGGCAGATGGGCAGGGGCAGATGGGCAGGGGCAGATGGGCAGGGGCAGATGGGCAGGGGCAGATGGGCAGGGGCAGATGGGCAGATGGGCAGGGGCAGATGGGCAGGGGCAGATGGGCAGGGGCAGATGGGCAGGGGCAGATGGGCAGGGGCAGATGGGCAGGGGCAGATGGGCAGGGGCAGATGGGCAGGGGCAGATGGGCAGGGGCAGATGGGCAGGGGCAGATGGGCAGGGGCAGATGGGCAGGGGCAGATGGGCAGGGGCAGATGGGCAGGGGCAGATGGGCAGGGGCAGATGGGCAGGGGCAGATGGGCAGGGCAGATGGGCAGGGGCAGATGGGCAGGGGCAGATGGGCAGGGGCAGATGGGCAGGGGCAGATGGGCAGGGGCAGATGGGCAGGGGCAGATGGGCAGGGGCAGATGGGCAGGGGCAGATGGGCAGGGGCAGATGGGCAGGGGCAGATGGGCAGGGGCAGATGGGCAGGGGCAGATGGGCAGGGGCAGATGGGCAGGGGCAGATGGGCAGGGGCAGATGGGCAGGGGCAGATGGGCAGGGGCAGATGGGCAGGGGCAGATGGGCAGGGGCAGATGGGCAGGGGCAGATGGGCAGGGGCAGATGGGCAGGGGCAGATGGGCAGGGGCAGATGGGCAGGGGCAGATGGGCAAGGGGGGGGATGAGATGAGGTAACTTTCGGGGCCCTTTTCCCCTCCCCTCCCTCGTCTCCTAACGTCCTTAGCCATTTGAGATGCCTCACAAGGTCTCCCGCCATCCCGCATGCTTCATGTCATTCTGTACCTCGTCCTTTACCGCACTGCGTCTCCCTGAAAGAAGGGTGTTTTTGAGACGTCTCACAAACACTCTTCTTTCACGTGGCTACCTCATCCTTTACCGCACTGCCTCTCCTATCCTCTTTGCCTGCCCTCGCCGCACCACCATTGCCACCCCCAAGCCACGTGGTTGCTCCCTCCCAAGCCCCATGCTTGTCTCTCTCCTTCCCCCCCTTCTCCCCGCAGCAAGCTCATTCTCTCCGCAGCAAGCTCATTCTCCCCGCAGCAAGCTCATTCTCCCCGCAGCAAGCTCATTCTCCCCGCAGCAAGCTCATTCTCCCCGCAGCAAGCTCATTCTCCCCGCAATCGCCGCGCTGCCTCTCCTCATGGCCTACTCCAGCCACACCACCATCATCATGCTGTTTCCCGCCCCATCCCACCCCTTCCCACCCCTTTCCCGCCCTATCCCACCCCTTCCCACCCCTTTCCCGCCCCTTCCTGCCCCTCCCTGCCCCTTGCCGCCCTTTCCCGCCCCTTCCCGCCCCTTCCCGCCCCTTCCCATCCCTTCCCGCCCCTTCCCGCCCCGTTCCCGCCCCTTCTCGCCTTCTTTCCCGCCCCCACCTCCTTCCCCTCTCCTCTGCAGGAAACTCATTCTCCCTTCCATCGCGGCTCTCCCTCTCCTCATGGCCTATTCAGGCCACACCACCATCGTCATCCCCAAGCCATGTGCTCGTCCGTCCCTTCCAATCCCTTGCCCCGTGCTTCTCCCTCCCTCCCTGCCCCCTTCTCCCCTGCAGCAAGCTCATTCTGCCGTCTATAGCGGCCCTGCCTCTCCTAATGGCCTATTCAGGCCACACCACCATCGTCATCCCCAAGCCGCTGCGGCCGCTGCTGGCAGGGCTGGCAGGCGAGGAGGTGGCAGTGTGGGACCTGGGAGTGCTGTACAAGGTCTACATGGGCATGCTCGTCGTTTTCTGCTCCAATTCCATCAACATTCTCGCGGGAGTGAACGGGCTGGAAGCTGGACAGACTGCTGTGATCGCTGCTGCGGTGAGTGTGGCGTGAACGTGCGTCACTAGGGCTGCATGCACCCAGGAAAGGGGGGATGTGGAATGGGGGGAGCGGGGGTGTGGAATGGAGGGAGGTGGCAGTGTGGGACCTAGGCGTGCTGTACAAGGTCTACATGGCCATGCTCGTGGTGTTCTGCTCCAACTCCATTAATATCCTGGCGGGAGTGAATGGTTAGGAGGCCGGCCAGACTGCAGTGATCGCTGCTGCAGTAAGATTGGGAGAAAGAGAATGTTAACTTATAGCTCCAAGGCATTAAGTGTGGGGTCTCGGGGTGCTCTATGAAGCGTACATGGGGTGCTCTACAAGGCGTACATGGGTTGCTCTATAAGGCGTACATGGGGTGCTCTATAAGATGACGGCGAACCCCATCATTATGTTGTAAAGAGTACAGCTTTATCACAATATGCATTATATTCGAGAGCAGCACAGACAGCTCAGGAATAGATCATGGTTTCCTCCACCCCACGCCACCCCTCTCTACCCCTCTCTACCCTGTTGCCCTTCTCAACCTGCCTCCTCCTTGCGACCCCCCCTTACCCGTCTCTCATACTCCTCCCTCTTATCCTCCCACCACGCATCCTCTCTCTGTCTCTTGCTCCCTGCCTTCCCCCTCCCCAATCCCCCCCATTTCTTGCTCTCTTTCTTTTCCGCTCCCTCCCGTACCCATTCAGGTACTGCTGTTCAGCATCTGGCAGGCTCAAATACGCCGCCAGACATCAAGCTGCCACTCTCTCTTTGTTTTGAGAATTCTAAAAAATCAGGCTGCCACTCTCTCTTTGTTTTGAGAATTCTAAAAAATCAAGCTGCCACTCTCTCTTTGTTTTGAGAATTCTCAAAAAATAAGCTGCCACTCTCTCTTTGTTTTGAGAATTCTCAAAAAACAAGCTGCCACTCTCTCTTTGTTTGAGAATGCTCAAGAAACAAGCTGCCACTCTCACTTTGTTTTGAGAATTCTAAAAAATCAAGCTGCCAGCCACTCTCTCCCTCTCTCTCGTCTTCCTCTCCCCTCATTCACTGTCGTCCCTTCTACCCTCCCCGTCCCCCCCCCCTCCCCCTCTCTCCCTCTCAGGTGCTGCTGTTCAACATATGGCAGATAGGCGAGCTGCCAGGCTTTAAGCTGCCACTGCAGCCGGACATGCAACAGGCGCACCTCTTCTCCATCTACCTCATCCTCCCTCTGCTTGCATGCACACTCGCTCTCCTCGTCTTCAACTGGTGAGTTTTCAACAGGTTTTACGCTGTGCGTCCAATCGGCTGAAAGTGGAACTCTTTCTCGTCCACTTTTCGCTGCACGTGTTTCTCTGGAACTTTCTGGTGCAGGTGCTTTTGAGAATTCTAAAAAAACAGCTGCTACGAAAGGTAATCTCCATCCACCTTTACTTCTGAGACGTTTCAGCTCAGCTATTAGCTTGAATCTGCTTTTGAGTCGATTCAAAAGCAGCCTCAGATATCAGCTTGAAACACACCTCTTCTCCTCCCACCTCGACTTTTGAGACCTCTCAAGTATCAGCTTGAAGCATACCTCTTGAAATATGTGTGTTTCTGAGGCGTCTCAAAAACACACTTATTTCACGTGGTCCTCCCACCTCGACTTTTGAGACCTCTAAAATATCAGCTTGATTGAAGCATACCTCTTCCCCCTGTGGTACCCCTCCTCACGTCTTCTGCCCTCTCCCCTCTCTCCCAGGTATCCCTCGCAGGTCTTTGTGGGTGACACGTTCACCTACTTTGCTGGAATGACACTCGCTGTGGTCGGCATTCTAGGCCACTTCAGGTAACCGCTTATCAGTTCAGTAGCTTGTCCTTATCAATGTTTTCAACCCGTCTTAATCGATCCATCGATTTTCTCATTTCAATTCAGTCCATCAGTCTATTATCAATCCATATTGACCTCCTCTTCTTCTTGCTGCATTGCATTGTCTGCTACGACCCTGTCCCCCTCTGCTGTCTCACACACTCAACCCTTGCCTTCCCCTTTTCTCTCTTCTTTTCCATCAGTGAGACTCTTCTGTTGCTCTTCCTCCCTCAGGTCATCAATTTCATCTACTCCCTTCCCCAGGTATGTTGTCACTTTTCAGAAATTTCAGAACTACTTTGTTTTCCTCTGAATGTCAACATGTCATCGCCTGCTCATGTTCTTCTAAGCAAACTTTTCGCTCATCCTTTCCCTTCCCCCATGCACCCCATCCCTCACAATCCCCCTCACCCCTCCCATTCCCCCTCGACCCTTTCCTCCTGCCCCTTGTCGTCCCGTCTCAGCTCTTCAAGTTCGTGCCATGCCCTAGACATCGCCTGCCCAAGTGAGTACCATGCCTTTGCGCTCCATTTTGCGTGAAATGAGGAGTCTCGATACCATGCCCCCTCCTCCCGTATCGTCTCTCCCTCTTCGCATGCTCCTTTGATTCATATCTGGTTAGCTCCTTTGGTTTTCCCATTGTCCGCCACATACTGGTGTGCGGCGGAAAGTGCGCTTATGGGATGAGAGTGCCAGTGCTGCTCTTTTAACATCGCATTGACTCTGCCAGTGCTGTAAGCAAGAAGTACTCTCATAAAAACGTTCAACATGGTACCCTACCTCTATTTAAGATGAAGAAGCGGGTCAAATTTTCCCATCCTACCTCCCCCGATAGATGCCGGTGCGGGGCAGGAAGTGCCCGCAGAAGAGCACGTTTGACCTTGCATCCTATCCTACCTCCGATTCAATCAACTTCACAAAAGGCCAAAAACTTCACAATAGGCCTGGAGTCCCGACCCGACCACATCAGCTGCTGCTGGTAGCAGATGGGGCAGCGCCAGACCCTCTTGACGTCCTTCGGTAGGCCTTGATTCATTTTGAGGTAGGGTGCAAGGTCAAACGTGCTCCCATACGGGCATTTTTAGCCCCGCACCAACACCTGTTGGAGGAGAAATGGTACACAGCATGGGAAAATTGTCGATATTGACTGCTGATCCGCGCAGCAGATAGGCGCATTTCGGCCATCAATTCGTGCTGGTTGGTGCATTTCGACCGCCGTTTGTGTGAGTTGTCGATCTTGACAGCCAATCCATGCAGACTGGCGCATTCCGACAACCAATCAGTGCAACCGCTGTTTGGTGGATCGGCGGATTTCAACAAATCAGCTGTTTTGACTCCCGATCCAGTCGGATCGGCAGTTTTGGTGCCCGGTCCGCATGAATGGGCACAATACAATCGCCAGTCCATGTCCCTCGGCGATTTCAGTGGCCGATTTCGTAAATCGGAGCATTTCGACTGTTCTTCTGCACAGATCGGCCACCTTGGGATTCGATATGCGCGTCTGACTCGTTAAGTCGGGTCAGGTCGATCTGTCCTGACAGGTGACGTCTTTTGAGGCGCCTCAACCTGGTCAACCTCTTCCCCTCACCCACCCCTCTATGTCACACATCTCCTCTCCCTCCCCTCCCCCTCCAATCTCTCTCCGCCTCATTCCTCCCTAACACCAGGTTTGACCCGGCCACGCACCGCCTGACGGGCAGCAACGATCTCAACCTCGTCAACCTCTTCCTGCGCCTCTTCGGCCCGTGCACAGAGGAACACCTCTGCATCCGCCTGCTGCTCTTCCAGGTAGCCTGAGGCCTTGAGGCCTCCAGGTACTCCCTGCTCTTCCAGGTACTCCCTGCTCTTCCAGGTACTCCCTGCTCTTCCAGGTACTCCCTGCTCTTCCAGGTACTCCCTGCTCTTCCAGGTACTCCCTGCTCTTCCATGTACTCCCTGCTCTTCCAGGTACTCCCTGCTCTTCCAGGTACTCCCTGCTCTTCCAGGTACTCCCTGCTCTTCCAGGTACTCCCTGCTCTTCCAGGTACTCCCTGCTCTTCCAGGTACTCCCTGCTCTTCCAGGTACTCCCTGCTCTTCCAGGTACTCCCTGCTCTTCCAGGTACTCCCTGCTCTTCCAGGTACTCCCTGCTCTTCCAGGTACTCCCTGCTCTTCCAGGTACTCCCTGCTCTTCCAGGTACTCCCTGCTCTTCCAGGTACTCCCTGCTCTTCCAGGTACTCCCTGCTCTTCCAGGTACTCCCTGCTCTTCCAGGTACTCCCTGCTCTTCCAGGTACTCCCTGCTCTTCCAGGTACTCCCTGCTCTTCCAGGTACTCCCTGCCCTTCCAGGTGCCGCGTGCTCTTTCAGGTGCCCCATTGGCAGCTCTAGCTAATGTTGCTGTCACAGGTAGCATCAAATGACCTGAGGGTGTATCTTCTTGAGAGTGGCTGTAGTAACTGCACTGTGTCTGTGCTGGGTGTGTGTTGCTCATTCACATTGGTCCATGCACAGAGGAGGAGCTCCACATTCGCCTGCTCTTTCTCTTTCTGTTTCTTTGCTGGATTGGCATGCCTTGCACTTGGATGGTCACGCCTCAGAAACATCTATTGCTCTGGATTGTTTCTGACAGATGGTCTCATACTCATTCCTTCTCGACTCTCCGTCCTGTGTCACCCACTCACACTCCCTTTCACTCCTTTCTTACTCCAACTCCTCGCTCTCCCTCCCCACACTCCCTTCTCACATTCCTTCTAACTCTGCGCTCTCAATTGCCCTTCTCACACTCTTCCCTCACACTTCCTCCTCAAATTACCTCCTCACAGTTTTTCCTCGCACTCTCACTTCACATCACTCAGTCAAGTCACTTCTCCTTTTCACATCCTTCCTATCCTCATTCAAGTGTTCCCTTATTCTCCCATTCTCCCTTCGATGCCTACTTGGCCTATTATGCGTTATGCCCATCCTCATCCCTTGGGGCTGATTCAGATTCCCCGTATTTTCCATAGAAATTCCCTGCATTTTCCGTAGAGATTACCACTACAGCCTTACACAACGCACCCACGTTTCCTTCTCTCCTCATGCTCACCTCTCCTCGGTTCATTCTCCTGTCATTGCATCCTCTCGTCGCTTCCAGGTCCCCTCCGCTCTCCTCTGCGTCACATTACACACCCCCTTCATGTTTGCTCCCCCATTCGTGTTTGCTCCCCCCTTCGTGTTTGCTCCCCCCTTCGTGTTTGCTCCCCCCTTCGTGTTTTCTCCCCCCTTCGTGTTTTCTCCCCCCTTCGTGTTTGCTACCCCCTTCGTGTTTGCTCCCCTTTTCCCTCTCCCACCCGTCGCTCACCTCTCTCGCGCGCATTCTCCTGTCGTTGCAGCCTCTCTTTACTTTCCCTCCTTCTCGTCCGATGCAGGTACTCTCCTCTCCTTTGCATTATACACCCCCTTCGCCTTCCTTCCCCTCTTCTTTTTCCCACACGTCTCTCTCCCCCTCCCCTGCCTTTGCTTTCCCCCCCCCCTCTCGTCCCATGCAGGTACTCTCTGCTCTCCTTTGCTTCTCTGCCCGCCTTGTCCTTCAAGGGTGGTACAAATGAGGCAGTGCACTTCGACGACACAACGATGCTATTAAATGGGAACAAGGGAGTCAGACGTTTGATTGCGATTTAATACCTCTCAAGTGTGAAGTTGCAGCAATCTGTGATTAACTAAAATGAGAGCTGTACGGAAGTTGGGTGTTCTTGTGCTTGAGTGAAGGCCTGCCTCCTGTTACTCTCGCTGCAATATTTTTCCCGAATTCCGCATGTTTTTGTTATATTAACTTCATTACAAGATTATTCCCCTCTATGCTGCTCCCTGCCCCACACATACACCACACCCTGATCCCCCACTCTGTTGGACTGAGAAAAGCCCTTAGGATCTTTGCAGGACTAAATTATGAGTAGGACAATGTAATAGCGGAAGCATTAAATGAGAACTTTGTGAACCACCTTGCGCTAGTATGTGAGGGCAAAGTAGATTGATTAAAACAAAGGGATAAAAGCTTTTATAAGAGTGCAAGGAATCCGAAGAGATACAGTTAATAATCGTTTTGCTGTTGCTGTTGCGGTTCGATACAGTGACGACTCGGGCAACTGCTCAATAGCGAGTCAGTTGTTTGTCCTTGCTGTCGCGCTGTATATGTCAGGTCAAAAGTCGCTGACCTTTGACTTTCGCATAACCTCCAGCAGTTGTTCAACCTCCGAGGGTTGACTCGCAAATGCTTCGATATGTTTCGCTTCGCTTCTGACTTGGTGTTTCGACACGACAGAGGCGCTAAATCAATTGTTTCCAACACTCCCCTTCGCTTCTGGAGTGTCGCTGCTGGTGACGTGGCTTTGTCCAGTCAGCAGCATGCAGTGTTCGAACTTCTGCTTCCCGAGCTTCTTTGTCAAGTAATCAGCTGCCATCTCGGACGTGGGACAGTAAGACAGCTCAAGTCTCCCCTTCTCGATCTCGTCCTTTACGAAGAAATATCGCAGGGCGATATGCTTCGTCCTGTTCGCGAATCCTTTTTTGTTAGCTATGCGAATTGCCGATTGGTTGTCGCAGAACAAGGAGAAGCTGGGTAACTGAGCCAGCTTCGCCTCCTCCAGAAGTTCGCGAAGGTACAGTCCTTCCTTGGTGGCTGAGCAGAGTGCGATATATTCAGCTTCAGCTGAAGAGAGAGCGATTAATTCCTGCTTGCTCGACTGCCATGAGATGGGTCCGATAGGCTCGAGGTGATAGATGTAGCCAGTGCGTGAGCGTCTGTTGTCGGAGTCGCCGGCGTGATCGGCGTCGACGTAGCCGATTAGTTTAGGTATCGTAGTCCCGTTCTTGTGGTAGGTTAGACCGACGGTTGAAGTGCTGACGAGGTAGTGGAAAGCACGGTCGAGTTCCGCCATGTGTTCTGCTTCAGGTTTCTTGAGGTAGGTCGCGAGCTGACTTGCGGAGTACGATAGGTCCGGACGGCAGGTGACAGCTGCGAAGAGGAGGCATCCCAGCTTTCTCTGGTAGTCGCGTATGCCGGCGGGCTTTAGTGGAGCGGATCCTTCCTTGTTATTTCCTGCCGTGTAGCGGTATGGCGTAGAGATGGTGGTCGGTGTGAGTGCGAAGCGTTTGGCGATGGTGTCGGCGTATTTTGCGGCGTTGAGGTAGATCGCGTCTTCTTCTTCCTGGATGTTGAGGCCGAGATACTGCGTGACAGTGGACGAGACTGTGAGCGTGAGATCCTTCTGTAGTTCCCCTTCGAACCAGGTGGTGACGTTGTTGGTCGAGCCGATGTAAAGTAAATCGTCCACGTAGACGATCAGTAGGATGTAGTCGGTGCCCTTTGTGAGCCGATACATGCCCTGGTCGTGAGGTAGTTGGCAGAATCCAATGCGAATAAGTCTTGCGTGCAGATACTGTTGCCACAGCCTTGGAGCTTGTTTGATGCCGTAAAGGGATTTTTGCAGCTGACAGACTTGGTTAGGTTCTCCGTGGGAGCCGTGTGAGCGGCGATCGCGAGGAGAATTCGTAGTGAGGTGTGTCGGCTGACCGGGGCGAATGTCTCTGTGAAGTCGCGTCCGTGCTCTTGGTCGAAGCCGCGTACGACCCAGCGCGCCTTAAACTTGTCGATGGTGCCGTCTGCCTTTGTCTTCACACGGAAGACCCACTTCCCGGTGAGTACTGTCTTGTTTCGTGCCACGCCGATAGGGACGACTTTCCAGGTGTTGCGTTCCTCCAGTGCTTTCAGTTCCTTGTCCATGGCTTCACGCCATTTTTCCCTATGCTCCCCCCCCAGAGCCTGCTGAACTGTGGCAGGCTCCTTAGGAATCTCCGTGCCGTGGACCGCGGTGACGAGGCCGAGTATCTGGAGGCCACTCTGTGTGTAACAGGGGAGAGTTGTGTCCGCGGGATAAGCTGCTTCGTCACCTGCTTCTGGGTCAGGTATGAAGTTGGGCCCTATGCGTTCTGCTTTGTTGGTGTTGACTTCTGCAGGTGTAACGTAATCGTTGTCGGCGAAGTGGTAAAATACGTCGGCGTTGGCGCTTTCGCGAGGATTTTCGTCATCCATTGGGACGTTGACGGAGCAGTAAGGGAGAGGTCCGGCTTCCTCCGAGGCTTCATCCACGTTCTGCTCATCCCAGTCAGCTTCGTCTGCTACCGAGGCGAAGCATCGGTTACCACGGAAGCCACCTGTGGGGTCCCGATCTTCTTCCAGGTTGGCAAGATACGTCGGAAGGGTGAGTCGTTCGTAGAAAATGACATCACGTGCTGCTACTGTTGCTTTGGAATGGACGTCGAAAATCTTCCACGCGTTGTAATTTCTTTCGATGCCCAGGTGTAGCCCCCACTGTGCGCGTTGGAAAAATCGGCCGGCTCGTGCAGATGGGGGTCGGTACTGTACCATGCAGCCGAAAACTCTTAACATTTTTGTGCTGCCCTGTTTTCCTGTCCACAGCAGATGCGGTGATGTGTTGTTCGGGAGCGATGATGACGAGAGCAAGTTGTGCAGCATTACAGCGTGGTCCATTGCTTCGGGCCACTGGTGGTTGGGCAGTCGCATGCCTCGTAGCAGCTTGCGCATGGTGTTCTGGAGAGTCCTGTTCATCCTTTCTGCTACGCCTTGCTGCTGGTGAGCGTAGGGAAGAGAGATGAGCCTCTTGATTCCTCTTTCTACCAAGTGCTGCTTGAACCTCTGTGAGGTGTATTCTCCTCCTCCGTCTGACTGGAAGCTTTTTAGTTTCACGCCTGATTCTCGTTCTGCTACTGGGAGCCAAGCGACGAAGGCCTCGAAAGCCATGTCCTTGCTCGGAAGGTTAAGGTGCCAAACGTAACGCGTAGCGGCATCGATGAACGTGATGGTGTAGCTGTATGCTCCTTGTCCAGGTTCGCGATTGTACAGGATGTCGCTGTACACTTTCTCAAGTGGTGCGTAAGCTGGTGCACTGGGGTTGTGGTGAGAAGCGAATGGCCGATGTGGTAAGTCAGCTTCGGGGCAGGTAAAGCACGTTCCACGAGCTCGTCGAAGTTCGCTTCCATCGGTTAGGAGCAGTGAATCTTTGTCGAGTACTCCTGCTCTGATTGTGTTGTTTAACACCGTGTTGCTTGGATGTCCCATTCGTGCGTGCCAGATGTCTTCGCCAGCTCGATGTCCAGGTGAGCGACGGTACAAGTCGGAGTTGGAGTAGAAGCTTGCGGTGAAGTTTACGCTTCGATGTGCTTCTCGTGGTGTTGGGTTAAGCTGCTGCGCAGGAGTCGGTGGAGTGTCGTCGATTGGAGCCGATGCAGTTGAAGGACCAGCGATTGGTGTCGATGTTGCTGCTGCTGCTGCCGTTGTTTCTGCTGCTGCCGATGTTGTCTCTGTTGCTGCCGATGTTGTCTCTGCTGCTGCTGGTGTTGGTTCTGCTGCTGCCGAGTGTTGAATTGTTGCTAATGCTCTTGTTCGTTCTGCCTCAGGGATGGTGCGCGAGTACCATAAGCCTTCTGGACTGAAGTCGGGGTCGAGATCCGGTGGATGTGTCCAGGAGGTGAAAGTGACAATCCCGTCGCTGTCAGCGGTGCCAAGATCTGGGACGAAGTCGAGGACGAAGACGTTGTTTTTCAGGACCGCCTTCCCGATGTAGAGACCGCCCTTCCCGTGGTATAACTTGAACTCCTGAGTGGTGCTATCTGCTTCGAGGTGTATGCCCTTCGCCATCAGTTGACTGACGCTCAGTAGGTTGTAACCGAGCCCTTCTGCTATTAAAACCTTCGACATCTGTAGTATGACGTTTGTCTCTCGTGACTGAAGTTGCACTACGCCTTGTCGTCGTGTGCGCAGGTTCTGATTGTTGGCGACGGTGATGACGACCTCGCGTTGAAGTTCGTGTTTGCGTTGAACAAAGCGTCCTGAAGAGCCCGCAGCAACTGTCCAAGAAGCAGGTATCCTTCCCTGACGGTTCGCTTTGGGCGATGGCTGCGTACGTTGGGTTCGGTTGCAGCAATTCTCGACGTGGAGTCGTTTCGTCGAGTTGTTCTTCTGGTGAGTAGTGCGGCGGCGATTCAGTGATGCAGGAGTCGGTCAATCTTGCCATGCAGCTGACGATGTCCCTTGTTCCTTGTGCAGGTTGTCCCATCGACGTTGTTGACGTTTGAACTTGAGTGGTGGAATTTGCTTGCGTTGAGGCGACTTGACTGCTTGAAGGTCGAAGCTGCCGCTGTGTTGGTACTGACTGTTGTCGGTTAGGGCAGTGTGTGCGGGGATGACCTGACGTCTTGCAGAGATGACAAAACGGAGGTACGGGTTGTTGACCTAGGTACTTGTTTTGCCGATGGTTGTTGTTGTTGTAGCGCCGTTGAGTGTGGAAAGCGAACTCAGACACTGACGTCTTCCTCTTGTGTTTTTCTTCTTGTAGGTCCATGTCTTGCTGTTCGGCGTGAATTTCAGCGCACAATGCTGCTTCGGAGATCTTCCCGTGAGCTCGGAGTATGGCGCGAGTGGAGCGCCAATGAGGACCAAGACCGCCAATGACGACAGTGACGAAGGCGTCTTCTGATATCGACCCTCCGCATCGAAGGAGTTTGTCGCGCAATTCGCAACAGCGGCTGATATACGCCATCCCTTTTTCGCCCGGTTTCATTTCCACTGTTGTCAGTTGTGCCATTAACCGACTCTGATTGACGCTGTCTGTTGCCTGATACAGGTTCTTCAGGTGGTTGTATGCGAGCTCGGCGGAGTTTCCGTATCCTCGGTAAGACCGAATGTTCTGCTGCTGGTTCGGTGTGACGTTGCGCAGTAGGATTGTATACGCCATCATAGATTGATACGTATATTGCTGTTTGTCGTATTGCGTGCCGTTTGTTGGATATGGCAGGGACCCATCGAAGAAGCCAAGAATCTGCGCGCCTTCCATCATCAGTTCGAATTCGAATGACCAGGTAAAGAA